ATTAAATAAAATAAAATTTAGCTGGCGGAAATTGGCATTGGAAACACAATAAATGGATATTCTATGCAAGCCGTGGAAATCGTCCATACATGGAAGATCGTATGCATTATCTGAACGATCCACGTCATAATCTCGCTATATTCAGTATTTTTGATGGACATGGCGGCCCGGTAATTTAAATTTCATATTTATAATCATTAATAATCATACAAATAAAATTTTAAATTGATGATACAATTTCTTTTTCTTAAATTTAATAGCATTATTGTGTGCAATGGTACGTGAAACAACATTATGCAATCTCGTATTGTATTTTCGAAATATTTACAAAAGGAAAAATTTCCTTTTGTAAATAGAAATATTTGATATTGATGCAGTGTTCAGAAGAAAAAAATTTTCAAAAGTACATCAAATATTAACGGACGGAGGAAAAAAAAGACCAATCGAAGATAGAAATTAATGAACAATGAAAAGAAAAAAAAAACATCGATATTGTGAAATATCGAGAAATGTACAATATTGAGAAATGTTAAATAAGAATACGGTACGGTATTTATGCAAATGATATTAGAGATTTATTAAATTGTTTAAAGCGTTTAGTCATTTTATTTAACTTTTTTTGCATTAAATAATTGTTCTATTTGCTGTAACAATCATTTAAAACTTAGCAATTTGATGGAACAAAAAAATGTAACTGAAACTAATAAAATTTGAAGAATTTAAGTTAAAAAAATCATAATTTCTCCTAATGATATGTAGATATATTTAAATCATAAAATTACATGCATATATCAGAATAAAAGAATTTTATGTTACAAGATCATCCATATTTTTTCTCTGATCTCTCAACTATTTTTTTTTGTTGCAAAATAATTAAGAACATAAATTATGTATATTTGCATATCGTATTTAAATGTAATGAATGATTGATCTGAAATTGAAAAAAGAAGGACTGATGATGAATATTACGAAAACATTATGATAATGTTTTTCTCCAGCATGTTATCGAACTATATTATTTTTATTTAGTAATTCCCTCTCTGTTTTTTTTTCTGTCATTTTATCAGAGTAATTATTGATAGATATTTTAGTTCGTATCACAGTATCTCGAAGAACACTTCTCGGCTGCAATACGACGACGACTTTTACGTGGTGGCTCTAAGCGTCAGCCAAGTCTCACAGGACATTCAAATGATCATATCATTGAGGTCACTCGAACTCTTCCATCATAATATCTTATCTTTGTTTTTGCACATCTTATCTTTATTAAAAAAAATTTTTTTATTCACATATTTTAAATCATTTTTATAATTTCAATAAAACAATCAACGAAATTATATGATCAGATGTATGGTAATTTCACATAAATCTTAAGATTCATAAAAGCAAAAAATAAAATTATTGCGTTTTTTTTTTTGAAATATAAAATTAATTTATCTCTTGATCTATTAACTTTGTTGACGGAGAACAATTATTGAGCTCAAAGAACAATTATTTTGAAATCGTTTTCTTTGTTTAAAATTTCTGAAATGAACCTTTTTTCTAAACTTCTTTCTATTGATTTTTTAAAAGCATTTTCAAAAAGCCTTAATGACCTCAAATGGCGATAATTACATTAATTGATGATATACACATGCGGTGAGATGTGTAATTTGATGGGTATGAATATATAATCGATGTTAAATGGGAGGATGAAAATTAGTTTTTTTTTTCTATTAAACTAATTAGCAATTCTTTTTCATTTGTATTTTTTATTTCAGAAAAATCTTTGCATTTTTCATCTTTTTTTTAAAAATAATGCTGCTAATTTTAAAATCATTAATTAAAAAATATTCAATCAATTTGAGAAGCTTTTTTTTTCGATCATCATTTTTACCTAATTTTACTAAAAGGAAACGTTTCGCTAGATAAAATTCAAAACAATATCCGAAATCCTGTATTAAAATTTGTTTTGCAAACAAAACAGTCTTGAAATGATATTCACTAAAATGCCAAGAATTTCAAGTCTAATAAAATATCACATTTCATTTTGTTCAGTAATTAAATATAAATTAAGTTATTCTAGTGAAAAAGTGAATAGATGAAGGAAACATATATAAAAATTGCTTTGCAACTTTTTTTCATTTAAAAAGTAAAAATAAAAATTATTTAGGCAATAATTACCGAAGTTCACAATATCGACGATGAAATTTTGAGGTTACATCCATCGCTCAGCTCATTGACAGGTTTGTCAGTGCTATTCATTACTATTTTTAATTATTTTGATTAAATCTTTGCTGTTGTTGTTTGAATAACATAAAATAAAGAAAAATCTATAATTTCTGCTGTCCCATTTAAAAGGCATGGGTTTTGAATTTTCTTTTTTGATATTATTTTTACAATATAATATATCTTAACAGAAATAATTTTTATGTTGGAAGTATGAATATTGACAGTTTGAAAATGATTTTTGCTCTTTCGTAATAACAACATGTCAAAGGTTAGAAATAAGTTTTAAGGTGATAAATAAGTTCATATTGGACGGTAATTTATTGCTGTTGATTTAATTACTGACTGATTGCGCTACTCTTAACAACAACCATTTGTAAAATCTTGACACTTAAGTACAAACTGAAATTAAATTTATGAAAATTGATTTTCATCTGAGAATTTGTAATGAAACTTCTTCACGAGTAAATATCAGTATGAATTTTTGATTCTAATTCTATCTAATTATTTTACATTTTTAACTTACGGTCATTTTAAAGTAAATCTTAGATGGAGACAGCTTTTAAATATTTTCCAAATATTTTCAAAAAATTGAATAATAACAATTCTCTTTTTCACAAAAAAATAGATTATCACTAGTATTGATAAATCATTTTACTAAAAGCAATACATTTTCAAATTACAATTTTAATTTCATGCACTAACAAAATTTTAATAAATGTTATGATATAAATTACATATTGAATTATTTCGTTGTATAATAAAGTTGAAATGAAATGAATTAATTGCAGGTTCAACGCTAATTTCAGTAATATTGGAGCGTAACCGTTTCTTAACCGTTGTAAATATTGGTGATTCTCGTGCGGTTGCATGTGATGTCAAAGGTCATGCCATACCACTTTCAATTGATCACAAACCATCTGATGTTCGATATCTTCGTTACTTTCTTCTTTTTTTTATAAAGCATGCAGCACGCTATTTTTTAATTTAAAATTTTTAACTATAAACTATAAATGCTTTATTTGAAATAACGAGAAAATCTTCAACGATGTATTCAAATGAACTTTTATTGAAATTTTATTTAAAGTAATAGTATAATTAAGCAGGCAATGGTTGTGCTATGAGCAATCTGTGTAATAAACTTTCAGTTATTTGAATTTCTTTCTTTAAATCTTTTATAAGATTTCTAATTTAAAAAAAAATCATGTGTTTTAATGTAACGGTCACTCAATGTTGCATTTTCAAATCATAATTTATGTCAAGATAATACAAATTATTATAAAGAAATTTCAGAGATTATTTAATTATTAGATAAATTGAATTAGTTCGCGAAAAGTTACCATGCCTTTTTTTTCAGAGATTTAATTATTAGAGATTAAAATTAATTATATCTAAGAATTTAAGTTCAAATGAGTAATTAAGTTAACAAGTAAAGGTTTTTTTTTTTGTAGATCCAAAAGAACGAACAACGTGCACGTAATAATTAAACACCAGTTAAATATCTCACAGTAAATATAACCTTGTAATTTTAAAACATTACCAATCATTACAATAAAACTCACTGTTCTTTATCAATTAATTAATTTATTGATCTTAAATTTTCTATAAATCTTACTACTAAGCAAATAACTTGTAAAAAACGAAAAAGTACTGAAATTTTTAGAAAATTTTGCAAAAAAAAAGTAGAAAAGCAGAAAACCAAGAAAAAATTTATTTTCTTTACAATCAATTCTTCGTAATTTTTGCCAAAATCTTCAATATTTGAATAAAAAATTTCCTTCGTTTTTTTTTTGCTTTTTCACATTCATTCTTTGTTGCTTTTTTGCAAAATAGAAAATTACGGATGACATTTATTCCCAATTCTATTCTTTGCCATCATTTATTATTGATTTACTAATGTCCAATAATTCCTTCTTTTCATATTTCGTTTTCCAAATATCACTTTGAGAAAAAAACGACAAAAAAGTGAACAGACGACATTCATTCGACAAATTTCCTTACAATCATTATAGTTTTTTTATTTCCTTTATTTTTTAAAATTTAAATTGAACATTGATTATGACTTATAAGGAAATGATTTGTTTTTTTTAAATTTAAATTGTCTATTAATTTAATAAAATTTTATACTAGCACCACTTTATTCTATCAATTTCAGATGTTTTTGATTTGAAAATTGAAATAAAAGAGAGAAATTTTCTATTTCAACAGCATAATATTAATATACATTTTTTTTTCAAAGAAAAGATTGAAATTTGAAGTTATTGAAAGAAAAAAATTTTTTTCAACATTGACCTTACCTCTTTCTCTCTTCTTCCTTTCTTTCACTTTCTATTAAAGAATCGAAATGATAAAATTTATTTCCCATTTTACATGAATTAAATAATAGAATTTAATTAAGTAAAAAAATGATGCTTTTAATTATTAAGTTCCAAAAACGTTTCAAATTCATTGCTGAATTTTTTTCGGAGAATAAATACAAATTATTTGCAAAAACATTTTAAATGAAATGAGAAAAAGAATATCTTTCGTTCTTTCATTCCATTTTCATTTTTTAAAAAATAATTAGGAAAATGGAAAATGAAAAATGGGAGGAGAGGAAGAAAAAAAATTATTTTCTTAACAGATTTTATATTCTTATCAGCAAAAATTTTCATTTTCCTTTTCACTTTCTAATTATTGCTCTTTTATTTGCAATAAACTTAATTGAATTTCCAGAATATCTTGCAGAATATTTAGTAATATATTTTCCTTTCTTTTTCTTCTATAAATCAATTATATTGATAGTTTGGTTGAATAAAACAAAACTATATCTAATATCTTATTTAGATTACATTAAATATGCAATTCAGGTCAGTTAGCACAGGCCAATAATTGTTACTAACTTCAAGGCAAGTTTACTGTGCTCAATATCGACCTGTGCTAAATAGTCTTTCGATATCCAATAACTATTTTTTTTTGCCAGTAATAACACGATATCATATAAAGAGCTATTATGTAATTCCTAACATCTGTTCCCTATTTATAGAATCGAATTTTAATTAAAAATTTGAACTTATTGCATTATTATATTGTGAACTTTTTTTAAAATAAGGAAGAACATAAATATAATTGATAAAAATTTGAAAAGTTCTGACAGCTTTTTTTGAAAAATAAGAGGATTATAATTCACTGGAACAAGAAATGAAAATAAAAAAGGAACGTAGTTATTTCAAATTTTATTAAGAATAAGAGCAATGAAATGATCTATCAAAAATTGATCTTTATCAGTATCGATTAAAAATTATCAGTTAGCTTATATATGACTTTAATAATTTCGGCAATAGTACAATGAAGGAAAGGAATTTTAAAAAGCTTAAAATTGTATATTTATTTTTCTTTATATTTCTTGCAAAATTAGCCGTCATGTGGCATAATTTAAAATAAAAAGAAACCAGTTTTTTTTAAAAAATTATGCCACACCAGAAAAAAGACAACAAAAACGAAAAAAACAAGTTAAACTTTAAAGTAATCATTTATGCTACTTTCAATTATTTCATTTCACTCCTGCAATTGTTAGCTTAGAATAAATTTTTTTTGACGTTTTAATATCATCTTATAAATTTCCAGTTCATCTTTTCTTTTATTTTTTCAACATTTTGAGTTTTTTTATTCTAAATTTTGCTTTTTGTTAAATTTTTCATTTATATTTTTTCAGGGCGAAAAAATTAGCCTTCACTACTGAATGCTTAAGTTAAAATTAGCTTATAATAAGTTTTAATCTATCACTAATTTTGATGAATATCGATAAGCAAATTATTGATTGATCAGTTAAAAAGATAACTATCATTTTGAAAATAGGCCTGTAATTTTCATAGATTTGCAAAGCAGTCCAGCAACTTTTTACATATTAGTCATTGGTCATAGAAGGTTGCATTAATTACTTTTATCCTCATATATGCTAATGATATATGCAAATTTTATCAAAAAATTTATGCATAATTCAACTGAATGGGTCATATGCATTTTACAGTGAAATAAAAATATTCAACAAAAAAAAATTTACAATAAAATAGCAATTGCGTGATACGATTGCGTGATATAATCAAGTAATGCTTTCTCAATAACATACGCAATCATCACCATAATAATAATTGATAAATTTATGCAAACAATAGTGGTAACGAAACGATAAATATGCAAGTAATATTTTTTCAATATTATTTAGTTTAATTTCTGAATAATAATTTAAAAAATAACAAAAAAATTAATGCAATGCAATAGCAAAATGATAATGATAGATAACAGTAGCATTAATGATGTCGAAAATTTTTTGAAATTTAAAAACTTTTCTTACTTACGCTTCATTGATTTCATTTTCTTCAACATTTTCTTCCCCTTTCATTATTACAATTTTGTACAAATTTTGTCTTTTTTTCAAATAAAAATCGAAAACATTTTCTTTGCGTTCAATAATTATAAAAAAAGTTTAGATAAATTTTTGAATAAATTTCTAAAAAAGTTTTAATTAGTAAATTTTATTTCACAAATTTATTGATATTACTCCATACATTCCACGTGATTCAATAACTGATAGAAATTAGCAAATTTTAAGTTTGTAAGAATCTGTACTGATGAGCAGTTTTGAATCTCAAACAGTTAGAAAAAAATGAAACACCGAAAGATTTATTTACCAAAAAAAAATTGTAATACAAACGAATAATACTGATAGCGATAATAATAATGGCAACGATTAGCATATTTTGAATTCAATAAAATCTATAAAAATTTTTTGCAAATCTGACAAAGTTAATTTAATCAATGTTTGAATGCTTAAAGAAACATTTGATAATTATTTTAATTAAATGTAATGATTAACTCAATTTTACACAATTGTTAAAGAATTTTTTGCAAAAATCTTAGTAATGTCATTATTTTTCTAATTCAATTTCTCAATGCAAAATTTTTAATTCTATCAAAATGATTACGTGTGAAAACGACGAAAAGTAATCATTAGTAATTCCATTATCAATGATAAGTTGCCAACAAACATCACTGAATTTAAGGCATTTAAAGATTATATGTATGAAACATGCAAAATCAATTAACGAAATGTATTTTGTTTTTTGCGTGAAATATTTCGAATTTTCCACCTGTTTTCTTTCTTATCCATTCAGTCCAATTTTATTTTATATTTCAGCAAAGTGAAATCACGCATTGATTGATAATTTTATCACAATCAGTGATATCTGTCACAATTGAATAACCATTAAAATTACAAATCAAACTAAAATGAAACAAATATGATTAAGTAAAAATTCAATGTTACACAGTTAATTAATGGTACATATAAGAAAGGTGTCAACAAGTATAGGTCTAAAATAAAAAATAAATAAGTAAATGAAAGACTTAAAAATGCTTAATAACATTTCTTACCCTATAATGTAATGAGAAAACAAACGATAAGTGATAGTTATTGATTGTATTATCAAATAGGAAAGACGTAATGCGAAAATGGGAAGAAAAAGGAAATAGCGTGGGCGGATGCGAGGGTGGAGGGGGCGGAAAAGGAGGGGGCAGAAAGAAAAGAATGCAAAATAATGTAATTGAGAGATTGTAATGGAAAAGAATTTGATCGAATTTTCCCTTTCTTTTTTTTGCTTAAATTGGACCGTCGGCCTAATTTCTTGGCTTTAACTTATTCCATTCTTTGAAGATTAATAGGCTCGTTGTTAGTATTCTTGGCTCCTTCAAAGCTTCTATCATTCATTCCTTCTGGCATCTTTCAAAATTTTCTCATTATTTATTGGATATTTTAAAATGATACTAATTTTTGTAATAAATCACGAATTTATCGTTTTTCTAAATACTAGTTTTAGAACAATAAAATTTATTAAAAATTTTGCTATAAATTTGATGAAACGTTTCTTTCATTGTTTGCACAAACAATGATAATGAATTGTAATCAGTGGCCAAAAATTACTCATAAACATTACAAAAATTTAGTTAATTTTATATTTTTAATTTACATTTCAATAATAAGTTGTAGTTAATTTTCAATTCTATTATACGAATAACCGTTTTCTTTTGTTTAGTTTATTCTACAAATTCCAAAAATTTCATCTTTTTTTATCCTTCATTTCATCTTTTTTTATCCTTCATTCTTTGCACTTTTTCATTTGCTTCATTCCCATAAACAACTATTTTATCATTCCTCTTTTAACTCTTTTTTTTGTTTGAAAGTGAAACTAAAGATTGGACAAATTATTGAAACCTTAAATCCAAAATTTTATTATCAACTATTCAAATTCTAAAATACTTATTTGAATTATTGAAAATTTTAAACAGGGATTAAAACATTCAAGAAAATTTTATACATTTTATCGTTGGAAAAATGAAAATTTCCAACAAAAATGCTTTCAAATTCGAGCAAAATTTTCGATTTTTTAATTAAAAAATGAACTTAACTATGTCTTACGAACTTTTGTCCCTCTTTCTCTTTCTCTCTTCTCTTATCAATATCAAGTATTTTCAACTTGATGATTTGATTAATCTGATAACAAATTCAATCAATCGGAATCTTATTTTTTTTAAAGCACATATATTTCATAATTTTATCGTTTTTATTTGTTACATTGGCAAAATATCTTATAAAAACCAGACATTGTTTTTGGTAAAAAAGAGAAAGAGATGATGAGAATTTTTCATTTTAAAGAGTAAAGGAAAAACAATAAAATTTTCAACTTTAAATTTTATTTTGTTTTTTAAGATTGTTCGTGTGACAGTCAGCTGTTATTGGTATATAATAATAATACTTTTAGTATTAATTAACTAATTTTTAAGACATTTATTCCATGTGGCGTGGCGACTTCGTCAAATGAATGCGTGAATGTTTGGGATAAGAATATTTCAAAATATTTTGTTCTTTTCCTTTTTTAAATTTTATCAAATTTTAGTTTATTTCTCGTGGAATACAATTTTGTTTATAATAAGACCTTACAATTAGAAAATTTGTCTTGGCTTTAAATTTAATTAAAGTTTCCTGTTAGCTTTAGAAATAAATTTTAATAAAATTAATAAGTTTCATTTTTCTTGCATTATACTTCTATCAATATGCATCGGAATTAAATTCGAAAATAATTTTTCCGAATATTAAAAAATTTTTTTCATGATTTATTTCTTAACACAAATAAAATGTACAAGGCGAAGTTGAAAAAAAAGAAGAAAAAATGCTCGAAATTATATTTAATTTTGTCATTATATGATCTTCGATGGCATAATTAAAATTCAATTTTTCAACTTTCTTTTTTAAATAATCAAAAAATTGCAACAAATGTGAATCATGCAAAAATACCTCCTCCCATCAATTATTTTAACCATTCATTTGCGCCATTTCTTCTTTCCGTCTTCCGCTTCTTTCGCATATTTTATTCGTTCCAATTTTTCATTTGTCGACATCGATTTGTCAAATGATTTATTTTGGTGGTATTAAATGAGGCAGCAAAAAATACTTACATCTATCAAAAAAGAAGTATAGAAGAAATTTTTGTTTTGAAAAAAAAAATACTGAATTTTGTTTATCTGAAAATTTGAAGTATGCTGATAAGTCATATTTCAATCAAAATTACAAAAGATTCAGGCAAAAATATTTTGCATTTACTTAATAAGTAATTTGTAAAATAACTCATAATGTATTTATGTTTTACAATTTCGCATAATTAATTAATTTTTCTTTAGACGTTAAACTTTAGTTTAATTTTATTCATTGAATTCATTATGCATAAAAATTTTCTATTATAAATGCGCATCAGTGGATTGTTTTATTAATTTCATTGAATTATATTTTCATTTTAGCAGTTTTAATATTGCAAACAACAAATCATCAATTAATTAATAGACGAACAATTAATCATTGCTTAACTGTAATTATTAATCAATGAATTGATATTGTGAATAACCGATCATCCAAATATAAAATTTCATTTAAAATTTCGTTGATCCTCTGTGCGATAAAGGTCACTGTGAATTGGATTGAAAGTATTTATAGTCTTCTTTCATATAATAATTTATTACCTTCTAATAATTACTTTAAAAAAAACATGTTATAAAATGCCACATTAGATGGGAATAGATTTTATTACATTTCTCATAAAGGTATGTAAGATCAGTTTTATAAAAAAAATTTTATTAATCAAATGATTAAAATTACCAAAATAAAGATTATCAGCATTAAATAATTAATTAGACAATTAATTTATTCAGTTAGATTATCAATATTAAATAAATAATTTAACAATCCAATTAAAATTCATAATAATAAAAAAATTAATTAAACACCATTCTAATCTTTAATCAATTGATGTCATACAATTATTATGAAAATAAACGGAATAAAATGATTCCATTTAAATAATATTTTAATCTTATTTAACTATCACATCTTTAAAAGCATAGATTTTAAGATTGCAAGCAGATAAAATGCATATTTTAAGTTGCACGTAATTAATAGACGTAAAATTTCCTAAAGCAATCTTTTAGGAACGTGAACGAAAACGTATCGAAAATGCAGGTGGTTTTATCGAATTTCGTGGTGTAGACCGATTACAAGGAATTCTTTCTGTTTCGAGGTTTTTTCATTTCATTCTAATCCACATTCAAAAAAAAATAAATCAAACTTATGATTGTTTAGTAAATAACAACAAATATATAAAAATATCTCAGTTTTCTTCATTAGGACAATTAATTATAGCTTAAGACATAGCAATCAAGGTTCGGAAAGTAGAATTTAGCGTCAGATTCAGACAATTTTAACATCAAATTCAAAGTTTTTTTTTTATTGCAAAACATTTGGAATAGCTTAAAAACAATAATAGTACACATATTTTGAAAGAAGTAAAATTTCAGTTAAATTCATTCAAATATGTATTTTTGATATTTTGCTTCTCCGATATGAACGGCAATTCCAATAATTACATTAAGTACTAATTATTCAACCTGATCTATACATAGCAAATTTTCTTCCATACGTTGTTTACATTTGTTTGCAATTTGTACATAGTGGGAATAACATGCGTGCAAATTACAAATTGTAATCCCGTTGATGATTGAAAAATTAGCAATAAATTCAAAAATTATTTTTAGAAAAAAATCCTTAGATTAGTTAATTAAACAGCGATAAAAATATAGCTGTAACAATAAAATTAGGTTAGTAATTACTCAATAAAAAACTGTTAAACTGAACTATGAATTTATTTATGTCATCTGATGGAATCACTAGTTTAATTGAAATTTTACATTTCTACCACTATTTATCATAGCATTCAAAAATTCAATAATCGATGAAATAAACAGCAACAATGTTTTCGTTCCATTTTTTGTTCCTTTTTTTTCCAATATTTCAATGCTTTATAATTAAATAATAATTTCGATGTTTTATAATTAAATAATGAATTCATAAAATTTCATCCTTTCCTATCTTTATCAAATTTAGGGGTCATTTTATTCACTTAAATTAAGCCAAGGAATTTTTCATTCATCGAACGGCTATCAGCTTTTGAAAGGTTTCAAAGGATGGAAATATATGTTCTTTTCATAAAAAAAATGTGAATCATTCACTTTTAATTACCGATAAAATGCTATTTTTCTAGTTTTATCACTCAGCAATGCTTTTATAACATTAAAAAAAAAAACAAAAAGAAATGATGATTTCACTCGATATCTTATAATTTATCAAAATATCTCGCAATTTTGCAGAGTAACTTTCAGTTAAAATTTTTTTTCAAAAAAAAATTGGAAAATCGTTTTTTTTTACTTCCCTTTATCATTTAAATTTTGCTCAGTAAATTACTGGATTGGAAAATGAGATATTAAAGAACGGAAAAGGAGGAGGAGGAGAAAAAAGAAATGAGAAATAAACCATTTTAAACAGTTCATTAATTCTATGTAGCCAATAAAATTTGCACTATTAAAAATTGATCAATTTCATTGAAGTACGAATGAATCGTTCGAGTCAAATTTCGTCATTTACTTTAAAAGTTTAATGAAAAACGAACTGTGAAAATCTCAATCTTTTTGATATTTTTCAACTTTCATTCTCAATTTTTGCATGCTTTTTTTCCCTATCAAATTTCTTCGAATTTGAAAAAAAAATTCAATAAAATGTTCAACAAAAATAAGAAAAGAATTCTGTTTCACTAGAATTACTTTTAAAGTTTTTTTTTTAAAATTCTATTACTTTTAAAATACAGTCATTTTTTCTTTTTCTATTCCAAAATTGAATAAAATCTTGCAAATAAAATAAATAAAATATTTGTTGTGCTAAAATTTATGATTCTATGAAAACTGGAAATTTTTTCAGTTTTTTTAATTTGTAAATTTTCAAATAAAAAAAGGGAAAAGGATCATTTTTGAAAAAAATTTATGAAATTAGCATTTTTCAAATGCAATTATAGGCAGACGTAAACACATGCACACGCAGTTAATTACATACAAATCATTCCGTGCAATTTAATTAATAACGAAATTTTTTTAAAATATAGTCAAGAGAACTTGACTATATTTAAAAAAAAATGATCATTTAATAATCGTAAGATTTTATTTCAAAAGAACAGCCAAAAAAAATTTGTATGAAATAAAGCATTTTTTCAAAATTTGAAGCAAAAATATTAAATTGTACTGATCCAATATTTTTAAACATATGAAATAAACCAAAATTGTTCACAAAACTTTTCTTTAATTCTAATTTTAAAGTCTTAACGGGTACCATTTATTAGTGAACAAAATAGTCTAATTTGAATTCATTTTATTAATGAACTTTTCTAGTTCTAATATTTCAAATTAATATTAAAATTGAATCTTGCTTTTCTTATGAACTATTTCGTAACAAAGAAAAAAACATGAGAAAAACATTTTAAATTTGCTATTATAATTTTGCCAATTGGTTAGTAATGATTAATTTGTTGATGGAATAAAAATGAAAAGGAGTGAATAGTATTTACGTATTTTTATAGAATGTACTTAAAATAGTCCAATAAAAAGCTTATATTGTAGCTGTCTTTTTTTTTTATTTTTTTCAATTCGTTCCAAAACTAATTTCATCCACAATTTTCAAACATTATCTTAGCAGCAAAACGATGCAATTTTTTTTTGTTTCAATCTTAAATGATCGACAATTTGCATGAAAATAACTATAAATATAATGTTTACAATAGTAAATTCTCAAAATAAATCTTTCTTCTTTTGCTCTTTTTCCCACTTTCTTTTTTTCCTTCGAAAATCCTCCAATCATCTGACAATATTTTGAGCAAAAATGCCTCGCATTTTAAAATAATGATTGAGTTTTCACTGCTTTGATTATAAACAGTGATATAAATGTTTTATGATTTATGCAAACTATCAATCATAAATAATTGTTGATTTAATCATAAGTTTAAATACGTGCAATGTTTAAAGTTAAATTTCCTAAATAAGCCTTTTTATTTTGTTTTCTTTCTCTCTCTATCTCCCTCTTTCGCTTCAAAAATCTAAAATAATTTAAAATTATATAATACAAGAAAATAATGTAGTATATTATCCTTTTATAATGTTTGCTCATGTCTTATTTTAAATAATTGAACTGATGGGACAGTGAGATTGAATCATTAAAATTAAACGATTCGAAATAATTAATTTTCCTTTGCACACTAAAATCATTTATACATCTGACAATGGTACAGCAGAATGAGATAAACAACTAAATAACAATAAGTATATTTTATGAAAAAAAAAATTTCATAAAAACCATGCAAAAAATTTTAAAAAAATAAAATGACTTATTAGTACGGTAGATAGCAATAAAATCAGTGACAAAGTAAATTGCAATGTGTTAATTAATATTGCAATAAATTATATTACAGTATATTATTTAAATTTCATAATTGATTTTTTAATCCAATTTTTTTTCCAAAAAATAATATTAATATAAGATAGTGTTAAAATTCATGAAATAATTGAATAAGCTTATTTCTTTTTTATTTTTTTAGAGCATTTGGTGATACGGCATTAAAACAACTTTCTGTATTAACAGCACAACCGGATATTGTCCGGATTGACCTCAATGAAGTTAGTTTACAGTTTATTCTCGTTGCATCGGATGGTTTTTGGGATGTGCTAACGAGTGATGAAGCGGTACACTTGGCACGATCATTTTTACGTGTATCATCAAATCAGTGGAATAAGTCTATTTTTTTCCTTCTTATTTCTTCCATTCTTCCGCTTTTTAATGAAAGAGAATTACAAAAAAGAAAAGAAAGAGACAGAGACAGAGAGAAAGAGAGAGGAAAGAAAAGAACTAATTAAATCTATTATGCAAGTGTATTTCATATTATAGCTTATTTATCGCGTTTTTACGTGTATCATCAAATAAGATAGCATCAAGAAAATTCAACGAAAAACTGATAAGCTGAACAGATGAAAAGTTCACACAAAGATTATTCCGATTATTTTATTAAAAATGTCACAAGAAGTAAAAAAGAAAAGAATGCACAAAATTGAAAACTTATTGCGAAGAGATTTTTAAAATTTTTAAATAATTATCGATTACCGCTCAAAAAATGAATATTTGCAGAGTTGCAGAATATTTGGTACGAAAGGCACTCAAACTTGGTTCCGACGATAATATTTCCTTATTATTTATTCGATTATTTTAATTATCAATTAATCATTATTCTATCAGCAGTGCATATTATTTGATCCATTTAATAAAGTTTTCTTGTTTACCTGATAATATCATTACCATTGTTATTGTTATCAGTATCACTGCTACGCAATGCGAAATATTTTCGACTGATAATACCGATTATTACTATTTTTGGATATAATTTATCATTGTTAATTATTGAAGTGATACAATATCAATGAGTGCCTTTGCTAAAATTACTATTGCATACTATGCTGTATTTTTTTACTGAATTTATTTAAGTGGTTGAATTCTTTCAAAATCTGTTGAAACAATTTTTGAAATAATCAATCAAGCAAAAGAGATGGCATCTCAAAGTTTGTGCTCCATACTTATTTCTGAAGAAGCTGATCTCGACGATGCCGTTACGTCAGTTTATTTTGCAAAATTCATTCTTAATGGTACAACAGATGCAATTCGAGTATCATTTGTAAACCGTATCACTTATGGCTATATCGCACCAGTTATCATATCATTTGGTATCATTGGTAAGTCATCATTTTTTTAATTGTATTAATTATCAATTAATCATTCTGAAACGTGTTACTGCCAATAATTACAGTGCAACTTTTTAATTGTGAATGATTTCCCTTTTTTGTTTTCTTTCTTAAGAAAAAAAACGCATTGATGTCATTTGTGAAGTCACTGAAATGATGTAATCAATAAAATTACTGTTGCAAAAATTGCACTGCTTATTAAATTTTCATGAACAGAAATTCACAAAAGTTACATGAAGTTTAAATAAAAGTAAAAAGTTTTTTCCAACAAATTAATATAAATAAAAACTTTCAAATTTCATTAATCTGTCTTCAAATCTAATTAATTATATTTTAGATTATTCAATATATCAATTTAATTGCGAAGACTATTTTAAAGAATGTTTAAGAGTTTCATTAAGATTTAAACAACAATTATCAGCAAAATATCACTTGTTCAATGAAATTTTAAGTGAAAAAATTATTAAATTGAACACAATGAAGCTAACCAATATTATGATTTTGGCCCAAAAAATTTTAGTTATAATAGTGAAACATTTGATAATACAACGATATCATTTCCACCATTTCACTTTCTTCTTTTAAATCTCAATTAATTCAAAATTTCATTAAATACAGGTGACATAATGACGGTGGCAACATTAACACGTTCGTTATTCAAACGATCACCAATCATTTATACCTACCTCATATTACTTGCCATTACCGATCTGGCAAGTTTTTCTGGTATTCGTATCATTTTTCAACATTTTCATACATATTTCTCATAACAATTTTTGCCTTTTTTCCGTTAAAATTTTTTAAAATTATAAACATAACTTACTTACCGTCAAAATGCTACGATATAAATAATAGTATGGCAGATTTTTAAATTTTTATGCAAATATTTGGATTAAAATCCAAATTACAATTTCTTTTATTTTTTTCCATTAAGAATATTTATTATGGTCAGAGTGATTTGCTTAGCTTATAGCAATTTTAGTTATCATGAATTTTTAGCTCATCTGTTATCATGACTTCTATCAACTTTTTTTTTTCCTAACAGTAAATGAGGAGATTAAACAATTGTTGTTAAATTATTTCCTTGATTTGATATTATTAAAAGAAGAAATTTAATAATTTAGCAATAAGCTTATTCAATTCGATTTCCCATCATTCAATTAAATTATTCTTTTTCTTTTTTCTTTCAGTCAACACTTTTATCAGTAATACCAATGATATTATGGCTGCTTGATTGTCGCCTTTGCTCCTATCCATCAGCACTTTACTATGCTCATATTGGATTTCCATTGGTTTTGTTCATTTTCAGCTCGTTCATATATCAATTTAATATTAATTTCTAAAATAGCAATTTTTTTTTCTCATTATAGCAACATATTTACATGGCTAAGTTTACTACACGCAACATAATGTGAATTGCGTGATTTATTGAAATATTTTATCATCTCTTCATGATTGAAATACAATCGTATCATAATTTTATCGTTGAACATGCATTCCTTGTGAAGGAATAAATTTTGCTGGCTAAGTTTGACTAAAAAAATGTAATATATTACAAAATTGCAAAGTGAAGAAAAAAATACAGCAATTAATCAATTTTAAATTTTAATTTGTTCAATTTTTTGTTGAATTGATTAAAATTTACAATTATTACTAATTTATTTCGGAAATTATTCAAAATTTTGAGAAGAAAAATGTCAGCTAACATTTCTTAATGTATTTTAGGTGAATGCATTGATGGGTGCAAGCGTATGGATTGTGGTATTTCTAACAATGAGTCAGTACATGGCTGTTTGTCATCCTTTTCATCATCGTTATCTCAGGTATATTACTCCATTTCTATTAAACATTTAAAAATTATTCTTTCATAAAATATTTGATTATAATTATTTACAATAATGGAGTTGAAATATTGAAATTTCAACTGTAATATTAATTTTATATTCCGAAATTACCTCAAAAAATTTGCATATATATATTAAAAAGAAATAATTTCAATTATTATGAGATTTTGAATGATTTATAAAATGAATATATTCCTATAAGGAATTTATGTTTGCCTTACTTGCTATGAATATTTGATTGTTATCGAATTTAATTATACGACATTATTAAACTTCATCAAAATTGACAACTAATTCTCGTTTCTTTTGTTTAGGACACGAAAAATGTGCTTATTGTTAGTTATCATATCTTATGTGATAAATTTTTGTATCTATGCTCCATGGGCTGTAAAAAAAGTCCTTTATGAGGTTTGCAAAAAATTTACTTTTACTTTAATTTAAAATCAAAAATTATCATTTTTCTTATTTTTGTTTTTTTTTGTATCAGTTTTTCAAAATTCACTTCAAGTGTTCGAGGAGGGAAATTAGTGGAAAATTTTTAACTGATAAATTTTGATAACAAACTTTTGCATTTTATGTTCCGTAACTTTTTGCAAACTTTGGCAAACGAAATTTAACATATGCGATAGTGAAATTGTTTTTGTAAAATGAAATATTTATGAAAAAGTTTAGTTAGAAAGAATGATCGCAAATGAATTTGATTAATTGGAATATAAAATTAAAGCAAAAAGGAGTGGAATTGTAAAATGGCATAATTATTAAAATACATGAGTTACAGCTACCGCCCGGAATTGCTTCATGTCGATTTGTTATATGTGATCGTAAAATTGAAATGTGGTATAAAGCGTATGAATGGTGTCGTGAAACGATAAGCCGTTTGTTACCATTCGTTTTGGTCGCTTATTTTAATTCAAAAATTTTAATCACATATCGGAGTACTAAAAAGGAGCGCTTCCAAAGACTTGCTTTTAATCAACAAAAAATTTCAACCAAAACTGAACAAGTTAGTCATAAAATTTACTCTAATATTCACATATTTCAATCCAAATTAAATGTATCAATAGCTTTTTTAATTCGCAACAGAAAGTTTTGTAAATATGAATTAAATTATATCGTATTTTGATAACAATAGTTATTAGTACGTGTAAGAATTCTAAAATATTTTATTGTTTTATTATTTGTACGTGCATATTTATTTTTTCATTTCACTTTTCTTAAATTTTTTCCTTATCATTCACATTGATACGTGGAATTTCGGTGATTTTTTGCTATGTTTGACGTAAAATTCAAATTATTTATATTTATCATTACTAGCTTAAACGTTTTACGTGTTTATCATTTGTAACTTAAACATTTAACGATTACAAAAAAAATGAAAAATTTTTTTGTTACATTATTCACATTGCTTGTATTACAAAAAAAAAATAAAAATAAAAAATTTGCAGGAAGAAAAGCAATTATTCACATTGCTGTTTTCGATTGTTATAATATTTTTTATTTGTACAATACCGGCTGCTCCACTTACAATATTCGTTTCTGATAAACGATCTTTTAATGTACCATTTCAAGTTAGTTATTTTAATTTTAATTTATCATTTATACATTTCACTTAAAAAATTATGATTTGAATAGTATATGTTAAAATAGATAAACGGAAATTTTAGCATATCTTTTTATGCTATCGCAGTAATATACTGTTAATGAATTTTTGCATAAAAAACATGATAAATTTACACATTATAAAATTAAATTTTATGTAAAAAATTATTAGTTGATTTAATATTTGTATGCAAAAGGCAAACTAATGCTAAATTCTGGGAAAAAAATTTATTGGTTAAATTTGAATTTATCAGAAAAGCATTTTATTTGCAGTTAATTGTGACAAGTTTTAGACAATTAGAGCTATTATTAATGTAATGGAATTTGCCAAATTTGCACTCAATTTCTATTTTTATTGTTTAATAAATCCAAAAATTCGACTAATTTGCTTTCATATGATTCGCTGTAGGACTATAAAAAAGCCATCGCTTATATTAGGTAAAATTTTTTCTTCTGAAATTTCTATTAAATCATACTATTATTGCTTATACTATTGAAAGTTTTTTAGTAATTGCTTTCTTTATGAATTTCATATATATA